TCTTTTTTTTGTGATCATCATACATCTGTTTTGTGTCATACGTTACACGTTTCGTAAAACTGGCATTGCCAGTTCACCATTCAGGGTGAGGGAGGGATTTGGGCGGGACACGCAGGAACTTGTATAAATCTTCCTTTCCTGTTTATAAAAATTACTGCTTCTTGGTCAACATATTCTGCATGAAAGATGTTTGGACTGGCTAAAGATGGTAACTCTGTAGATTCTTTGACAGCGTTTTAGAATAATTTGTTTTTGTTGAATGAAGTGGCCCCAGGAAGTATTTGCATACTTTAAAAAAAATAGAAAGGCAAAATATTTCACAAAAAGAAGTTTGATAGGTTTTAAATAAAGCAATGAGTATACTGTATAAAACCATTGTGACACTTAGTGAATCCCTTTAAGGGAACTGACCGCTACTAAAACAACTTTCCAAAAAACAAATTTTTTTTTTGAATAATTACATTTTAATTATAAATAAATAAAATTTATTTATTTATTTATTTAAATGTCATTATTTAAAAATATTGACCTTTCTAAAGCAACAACCCAAAACTTAAATATGTTCCAAGAAATGTATGTATTTATTTGTTTCAATTTATTTATTTATGGACACTACTTTTCTCAAAGTCTAATGTAATGATATTAATGCCGTTTTTAAGTATGCCGTAAATGTTTTGTGAAAAAATGTTGTGATATTATCTCAGCAAGAAAAGAGCAAGTGGGTATTATTGGCTCGGAGTCACTGTATGCTCCATGCTTCAGATCAGTAGTTGTGTGCATGAGATTGTTTTTAATGAGGCCTTTTTTTGAGTTCTGTATCTCTCTCTTGAACACTGTAATTAGTGTGATAATGGGGTTAGTCACCGTGACTCTCAGCGGTGTGCTATTATTATCACGATCAACATAAACAGCGACGCCCACATCAGCTGTGACATGACACGTTTATGTCTGTCGTTCAAGCGCAGAATAGCTTCGCACATGGTAGAAAAGAAATAGTTGACATATTTTCACAGCCTATTTAAGAAGTGCCAGACATAGTTTTCATCAGTCTCTCTCACGCTCTGTTAGATTGACACATGAAGCCGACACATGTCAGTCATATCTGGGCGATGTGGGGGTCCCTCGGGGGCCGGTAGCGGAGCAGAGGGTGACCCCCGACACTTTGAAATCCTTCCTCAGTGTTGTCTGTCTCCCATTACACTCCTGCTTTCATATTCACTGCTTTTCCTTTGATTTTGTTCTCAATTATATGTCTTTCTTTCTTTCTTTCTTTCTTTCTTTCTTTCATCCATCTGTCTGTCGCTTTCTTTCTTTCTTTCTTTTATCCGTCTGTCTTTCTTTCTCTCCTCCCTTGTCTTTCTTTCTTCTGTCCGTCTGTCCGTCTTCTTTCTTTCTTTCTTTCTATCTTTCTTTCTTTCATCCTTCTGTATGTCTTTCTTTCTTTCTTTCTTTCTTTCATCAATCTGTCTGTCGCTTTCTTTCTTTCTTTCATCCATCTGTCTTTCTTTCTCTCCTCACTTGTCTTTCTTTCTTCTGTCCATCTGTCCGTCCCTTGTCTTTCTTTTTCTTTCTTTCTTTCTATCTTTCTTTCTTTCATCCTTCTGTATGTCTTTCTTTCTTTCTTTCATCAATCTGTCTGTCGCTTTCTTTCTTTCTTTCATCCATCTGTCTTTCTTTCTCTCCTCACTTGTCTTTCTTTCTTCTGTCCATCTGTCCGTCTTCTTTCTTTCATCCTTCTGTATGTCTGTCTTTCTTTCTTTCTTTCTTTCTTTCTTTCTTTCTCTTTCTCTCCTCCCTTGTCTTTCTTCTGTCCATCTGTCTGTCTTCTTTCTTTCTTTCATCCATCTGTCTGTCGCTTTCTTTCTTTATTTTATCCGTCTGTCTTTCTTTCTCTCCTCTCCTCCCTTGTCTTTCTTTCTTCTGTCCATCTGTCCGTCTTCTTTCTTTCTTTCTTTCATCCATCTGTCTGTCGCTGTCTTTCTTTCTTTTATCTGTCTGTCTTTCTTTCTCTCCTCCCTTGTCTTTCTTTCTTCTGTCCATCTGTCTGTCTTCTTTCTTTCTTTCTTTCTTTCTTTCTTTCTTTCTTTCTTTCTTTCTTTCTTTCTTTCTTTCTTTCTTTCTTTCTTTCTTTCGTTCTTTCTTTATTTATTTCCTCCTTCTGTATGTCTCTTTCTTTCTTTCATCCATCTGTCTGTCGCTTTCTTTCTTTCATTCATCCGTCTGTCTTTCTTTCTCTCCTCCCTTGTCTTTCTTTCTTCTGTCCATCTGTCCGTCTTCTTTCTTTCTTTCTTTCATCCATCTGTCTGTCGCTTTCTTTCTTTATTTTATCCGTCTGTCTTTCTTTCTCTCCTCTCCTCCCTTGTCTTTCTTTCTTCTGTCCATCTGTCCGTCTTCTTTCTTTCTTTCTTTTTTCTTTCATCCTTCTGTATGTCTGTCTTTCTTTCTTTTTCATCAATATGTCTGTCGCTTTCTTTCTTTCTTTCTTTCATCCGTCTGTCTTTCTTTCTCTCCTCCCTTGTCTTTCTTCTGTCCATCTGTCTGTCTTCTTTCTTTCTTTCATCCATCTGTCTGTCGCTTTCTTTCTTTCATTCATCCGTCTGTCTTTCTTTCTCTCCTCCCTTGTCTTTCTTCTGTCCATCTGTCTGTCTTCTTTCTTTCTTTCATCCATCTGTCTGTCGCTTTCTTTCTTTATTTTATCCGTCTGTCTTTCTTTCTCTCCTCTCCTCCCTTATCTTTCTTTCTTCTGTCCATCTGTCCGTCTTCTTTCTTTCTTTCTTTCATCCATCTGTCTGTCGCTTTCTTTCTTTATTTTATCCGTCTGTCTTTCTTTCTCTCCTCTCCTCCCTTGTCTTTCTTTCTTCTGTCCATCTGTCCGTCTTCTTTCTTTCTTTCTTTCATCCATCTGTCTGTCGCTTTCTTTCTTTATTTTATCCGTCTGTCTTTCTTTCTCTCCTCTCCTCCCTTGTCTTTCTTTCTTCTGTCCATCTGTCCGTCTTCTTTCTTTCTTTCTTTCATCCATCTGTCTGTCGCTTTCTTTCTTTATTTTATCCGTCTGTCTTTCTTTCTCTCCTCTCCTCCCTTGTCTTTCTTTCTTCTGTCCATCTGTCCGTCTTCTTTCTTTCTTTCTTTTTTCTTTCATCCTTCTGTATGTCTGTCTTTCTTTCTTTTTCATCAATATGTCTGTCGCTTTCTTTCTTTCTTTCTTTCATCCGTCTGTCTTTCTTTCTCTCCTCCCTTGTCTTTCTTCTGTCCATCTGTCTGTCTTCTTTCTTTCTTTCATCCATCTGTCTGTCGCTGTCTTTCTTTCTTTTATCTGTCTGTCTTTCTTTCTCTCCTCCCTTGTCTTTCTTTCTTCTGTCCATCTGTCTGTCTTCTTTCTTTCTTTCATCCTTCTGTCTGTCTGTCTTTCTTTCATCGCTTGTCTTTCTTTCTTTCTTTCCTTGTCTTTCTACTGTCCATCTTTCTTTCTTTCTTTCTTTCTTTCTTTTTCATCCATCTGTCCTTCTTTCTTTCTATCTTCCCTTGTCTTTCTTTCTTTCTTTCTTTTTTCTGTCGCTTTCTTTCTTTATTTTATCCGTCTGTCTTTCTTTCTCTCCTCTCCTCCCTTATCTTTCTTTCTTCTGTCCATCTGTCCGTCTTCTTTCTTTCTTTCTTTTTTCTTTCATCCTTCTGTATGTCTGTCTTTCTTTCTTTTTCATCAATATGTCTGTCGCTTTCTTTCTTTCTTTCTTTCATCCGTCTGTCTTTCTTTCTCTCCTCCCTTGTCTTTCTTCTGTCCATCTGTCTGTCTTCTTTCTTTCTTTCATCCATCTGTCTGTCGCTGTCTTTCTTTCTTTTATCTGTCTGTCTTTCTTTCTCTCCTCCCTTGTCTTTCTTTCTTCTGTCCATCTGTCTGTCTTCTTTCTTTCTTTCATCCTTCTGTCTGTCTGTCTTTCTTTCATCGCTTGTCTTTCTTTCTTTCTTTCCTTGTCTTTCTACTGTCCATCTTTCTTTCTTTCTTTCTTTCTTTCTTTTTCATCCATCTGTCCTTCTTTCTTTCTATCTTCCCTTGTCTTTCTTTCTTTCTTTCTTTTTTCATTCATCTTTCTTTCTATCTTCACTTGTCTTTTTTCTTCTGTCTGTCTTCTTTCTTTCTTTCTTTCTTTCTGTAATGTGATTGTTTTGTCTCATGTTATTTATTCATTGTCTCTGTTTTTGATTCTGTCCTCATCATCCTCTTCTCTGACTGTGTTCATGCTTGCTCTACATGTTGCATGTAAGAGTCTGATTGCCTCATTTCACCTTATAGCTTTTCTCACATCATAGATTTGATGTAGGTGCCAGTGTTGTTAATGTGTACATGAGCAATGTGACGTGAGATACATACAGATGAACCAAAACATTTGTTTCCAAGAGCAAACATTCTTTCTTGGACAAGAAATATTACCTCATAAAATGGAGTGAGGCAAAGTTTTGTTAAGCAATCTAGATTTTAATATCTTACTCAAAAACATGAATCATATTTTGACAGCCAAATGTAAAGAAATAGGTTAAACTGTCTAACTTTTATAATATAATACATTTAGATTTAATTTGGTTAAATCTGAATGTTGAGTTATTTTATGTTAAAACTTAACATAGTTAAATACAGAAATATTGACTTTTCACAGTATTCTGTTCACAGAAACGCAATCTTCTACTCGCAATCGCTTCATTTCTATCGTATTCAAAAAATGTGAATGTTTATGCAAAGGAGACACAAAGGAGATTAAATATAAATAAAATACCGATTTTTTCTCCATGAAAGGACTGAGTTTAATTTATTTTCTTCCTTCTCTCTGTAGAAGAACATATTAATCAGATGTATGCCTACATGAACTTTTTAGACACTGTATATTTCTATAGCTCAACAGAAACTTTCACTGTGATGTATTGTAGACCTGGAGTACATTAACACTCAACCCAAAGCTGAAAGTAAACTATAGAGAGAGAAATGTTAACATCATTTGGTTCCTCTTTAGAACCCCAAATTCCAGGAGCCTGTTACACTGGATTTTCTGGATGCTGAGCTGGAAAATTATATTAAAGTCCAGGTATGCCACAACACACACATACAGTACAAACACAAATAGCATGATGTCACCAGTTTTATTTCATTGCTTTTTATTTTTATTATTTTATGATGCCTGAGAGGTTTTGATTTCATGTGTGGTATTTCAATACTTACAAATGCTTACATTTCTGTTACAAAACATGTGCTGAAAACACCCTTTTGCTCAAAAGAATGCATAGTTAGCTTAGATAGTAGTGATTTATGATAGTAGTGGACATAATGCCTGACCACACAAGTCACGGAGCTTTTTCTTTTTGTACAAAATAAAATGCGTTTGCAGATAAAAATGTTCATTAGAGCAGTGTAATTAATTGCTGTACTTTGATTGTAATTTGAACCTCGCTATGTGTACTGCGTTAGACTAACCGAGACTTGTCGTACCACTTGCATATTTTTGCTCTTTTGTTGGTTTTGATTGCTTCTATTGTCCTTATTTGTAAGTCGCTATGGATAAAAGCTTCTGCTAAATGACTAAATGTAAATGTACTTTTCCCTTGAAAAAGTAAAGGATTACTGTAATTTAATTTGTTACTTCTCATGTAATTGCATTAAATACTGTATAGACTATAGAAAAAATTCTGTATAAAACAGTAGTGGATTTACCATCCAAATTTAACATTTAATGTTAATGAAGTGAAGTGAAGTGACGTGACATGTGGCCAAGTATGGTGACCCATACTTGGAATTAGTGCTCTGCATTTAACCCATCCAAAGTGCACACACACAGCAGTGAACACACACACACCGTGAACACACACCCAGAGCAGTGGGCAGCCATTTATGCTGCGGCGCCCGGGGAGCAGTTGGGGGTTCGGTGCCTTGCTCAAGGACACCTCAGTCGTGGTATTGAAGGTGGGAGAGAGCGCTGTACATTCACTCCCCCCACCTACAATCCCTGCCGGTACGAGACTCGAACCCGCAACCTTTGGGTTACGAGTCCGACTCTCTTAACCATTGGGCCACGACTTCCCCTAAATATATATATATAATATATATGTATTTAATGTAACTTTCTCCTTGTAAATACTTTGGTCAGTTCAAGAATGATTTATGCAATTTTATATGATTTATTTGAAATAATTAAAAGAGCCACTTCATGTCTATCCTTGTATTGTTTAACTGGAGCAATTAATTACTTTTTAGAGTAACTTACTCAACACTGTAGTACCAGTGTAAAAGTCAAAGTACCATGGTAT